GTACCGCAAGGATGTTTAGAGGGTTGAAGTGTACTATAGAAAAAGACAAAGACTGTTTCACAGGCAGGTGTGAAAATATGTATTTTGCATTTTTCTTACTTACTGGAAGTATGGCTAAGATTAGGGAGCACTCCAGTAGGAATTTAGAATACATTTAAATAAATTATCCACACAGATTGGTGGTTCACAGTGTACAGACAGCGGTAGCCATAAGAAGATTCCCTTTTGCATTTGTCCAGGCTTTAGTCAACTAAAATATTTTGGTTTAGTTTTCTCTATTGACACAGGATAATAATGTAATGAAAAATAAAAAGCAGAGGCAGAACATTTGATAGAAAGACAGAGAGGAAGGTGGAACACAAAAAGAACTTTAGTCCTGCAGAACTACAGTACAGATACCACAGAGAAGTAGAGAAGATTATAAACCAAAGAGAATTACAAAATCTTCACTGGTAAAAACCACAGACACAGAGAATAATTTCCTGGTGCAGGAAAGTTGAAAAAAGGAAAGAATTCAAAGAAAACACTTAGAAGTTTAGAAGCATGTAAAAGTAGTGACAAACTAGACTCAATCAACAAAGTCTATACTGCCCAAAAAAAATCCTTGTTTATCCATCACTTATTCACTGTCTCTGTCAGGGCATGGAGAGGATGACATTCGGAGACAAAGGAGACAGAATAGAATATTCGAATACGGGCCATATAATATGGGGATTAGAGAATGACTTTTTTTCCCCAAGCTCTTATATAATAACATATCATATTTTTCTTAGATTAAATTTTTTTCCTAGTGGAATTACTCCACTGTTTTATTTTTCATAGTAATGGGCTTTGTGGGGAGATATCATCCTTCCCCATGGGATTCAGAAGGCTTGCTTTCTTCTGTCCCACCTTCTAAGGTGCTTTAAAACGTACAGACATTTGCTTTCTTCTGGTCATGACTCACTGCCTCGCGGGCTGTGACACTGCATTACAGGAGAGTTTACACTGTTTGGTCTCCTACCGAGACCACTCACACAGGCACACCTTAGGATTCCCTCCCCCAACCAAACGGCTCACCAAAAAAAAAAAAAGAAAACTTTATACTTACCCTCCTTGGGGTCTTCGTTTGGTCTTCGTGCACAAAATTTAAGGGGGTCTGCAGATTTCTTTGCTTTATTATCGAAATTTTACTGGGTTTATTGATCCAAAGTTTGGTAAGAACATCTTCAAAGCAGGGCTATCTAGAGATAGGGCGCCTCCCTGTCTCTGCAGGAGTTCAGACCAAAGCAATTTGGATTCCCGGCCAATGCACCAAATTGTTATAAGTTAGTTTAAGAATTTCGACAACTTAGTTCCAATTAAAAATTGATAAATTTATTAAGCAAGCGATAATAAAGCAAACAGCGCTGGGTGGCCTGGGGGGCCGGTGCCCCGCCAGAGACACACAAAACTTGTTTGAAAACTGGGCTTTTTGTACCCTTTCGATATCAGTTGTTGAATATTCATTCATTGTCCGTTTGTTGCCTTAAAAGGTAATTCCCCTGCTTTGGAGGTGGATGTTACCCCCTG